CAGACAGACAGAGAGAGACAGAGAGAAAGAAATTGAGAAATCACCCCCCAGGGGGGATGGCCACGCCGCAGTCCCTTCTCCTCCATTCTCCTCTTGGGATCTTGGGTACGCACACACATGCGCCCAGCGTGAGTTTAAGCCACTGGGTCCAGGACTCAAACTGCGGTCAGCTACATGGGAGTTCAGTGACATAGCCATTACGCTAACTACTGGTCCCAAGTAGTAATTGTTTTAAAATTACTTGAAAGGGATTAGCAGGTAGTGTGGTGGTTAAGGTGCTGGACTCTTACATTGATGACCATGGTTCTAGTCCTGGACCTGGTGGCTTGAGAATCATACCAGATGCGTGTGTGTGTATGTGTGTGTGTGTGCATACGTGCCCAAAATCCTGAGAGAACAGTAGAGGAGAAGGGATTGTATAGTGGCCTCCCCCTTCTTTGCCCCCAGGGAATGATTTCTCACTTTCCCTTTCTCTGTGTGTCTCTGACAAGTGCACATACCCTATGGCAAAAAAAAGTTATGTGGAAATTTTTCAATATCATAGCATGTATTAAGTTTTCTTTATCAATTAGGATGCTTCTGTTCACAACACTCTGCCTGGCTGAACAATAACGAGCTTCATTGCTTTATCCCGGTGGGTGCGGGATGGCTGATCATAACACCCGAGCCTACATGTACCCTCATTCCCACAGACGACAGAGAGCTTTCCCATGGCTCTCATGGAGCTTCCTATTGCCAAAGCCCTCAGCATGTATTTATGTCTTCATTTCTCACTGGATGCTAGACCAATTGTGTGTAGTCTGATCCTTTGTGTGTGTGTAAAGTGGCCAGTTTTATAAGTAGAGAGTTCTGATCTTTGATCCATTGCTCAATCATATCAAGATTTGGTTTTTATCAGTCTCTAGCTTTTCTGGTTTATTGCTGGGCAGCTGATGCACAATTTCTTCTTGGTAGGGTGATATAGCTTCTTCATAAAGGACTTGAAAAATCTCATACTGAGGGACCAGCAGTTAGCTTAATGGCTACGTCGCTGAACTCCCATGTAGTTGACCACAGTTCAAGTCCCGGGCCTGGTGGCTTAAACTCATGCCAGGCGTGTGTGCGTGCGTGCCCAAGATCCCGAGAGAAGGGATTGCAGCGTGGCCATCCCCTCTGGGGGATGATTTCTCACTTTCTATCTCTCTGTCTCTTCCTGTCTTTCTGGCGAGCGCATGTGCCCTATAGCAAAAACCTATCAAAGAAAAAAGAAACATCTCACACTGAATATTTGCTTTTAGTTTCTTTTCACTATAACCCCTTGTTTCAAGTCTTTTGTACAATATTTTGTTACCCGTTCTTAGCACAAAAACGGCATGAAACCAGCATTCAGAGAAGAAATCACATCCACAGTAATCAACAGTAACTCCACCTTCTCATTTGGTTTTCTAACTCATCAACCATTGTCTTCATCTAAAATGGGCAGTCATATTCTTCATCAAAGCCATCAAACAGCTGCCCTTCTTGAGCCTAATCACCCACATTAATGTATTTCATTCCTGAGCTTGATGCACGCTCTTTGCCTGGTGTGGTTTTTCTAAACCCTGGTGTACTAGTGAGCGAGATGTTCAGAAGCACCATAGTGTTAGGACCAGCAGATGGTACAATGACTATGTTGCTGGACTCCCATGTAGTCGACCATGGTTCAAGTCCCAGACCCAGTGGCTTAAATTCATGCCAGGCACATGTGCTTGCATGCCCAAGATCCCGAGAGCAGAATGGAGAAATGGTTGCAGCATGGCCATGCCCCTGGGGAGTGATTTCTCGCTTTCTGTCTCTGTCTCCCTCTGTCTTTCTGTGAGCATATGCACCCTATAGCAAAAACCTCTCCTAAAAAAGAAGAAAGAAAGAAAAGAAGCACCATAGTCTTCACCTTCGGCTTCCAGGGCCTCGGCTCAGGTGCTGCCAGGAGGGAGCACACAGCCCCGAGGTTCGCAAAGTCCTGCTCGGCGCTCCCAACCCTGCCACCAAGCATTGGTGACCTAGCCTTCTATGACGTCCTTCCGTCTCATCTGATTCTTACAGCATTCAAGGCCCTACTTATGAACTGGGAATAAGACACCACCACCACCCCACTGTACCTGTGCACGCATGCACAACACACACACACACCCTAACGAAATCTGGATACCATTAAGAAGTGGGAGGAGGGAGGGAACCTGCCAGGCAGGCAACCAACAACACCAGTACTTTTCCCTGAATTTCTTAACTAAGCCCTTGACTAATTATGGAATATGATGACTGTATATGTATATTGGGTTGTTGGAAAGGTCACAATATTTTTCCCTATGTTTTTCTGTGCAAAAATGTGTCATGACTTTTCCGACAACCCAATAGTTCTTATTTCAGTATTTCTGAAACCACAAATTATTTAAGGACTAGTATATTACTTTACTTCACATAATAATACCTTATTCTAGGGCTGCTGCAAGAAGCAGCATGATAACTTTTTACTTTAGTATGGATATTAGAGGTTCAAAAGCATAAAGTGTATCTTGCATGTGTTGAATACAATGAAGCATTCTTGAAACTTAATAGCATTTTATACACAGTTTAAAATGTAGCCCTTACATACAAATGAGACGTTGGCTCATTCTTTGGTCTCCCTTACTACTGGAGCTTTCCCTAAACCCTGATTATTCTTCATAATCTCCAACAGTGAAAGGGTATTTTAGTAAAATACTGGGTAGAAATTTCTCAATGTGAGATTTATATATGAAATATCTAATGTATTCTAATAGACCAAACCAAAGGGCTTTGGATAGTTGAAGGCTTTGTAGACAAGGAATGGATATTCAGCAGACTGTCCAAAGGAGAGGAAGTCACAGACTCCTAGAAAGACATAGCAAGAAGGTTGGCCCTGTAACCTAGCATTTAAAGGAGCTGATCCCATATGGCCCACTGTGGCTCGAGTCCCAGCCTCAGCAGCTTGAAAAACATGCTGGGCCCACACCTGAGATCTCAATAGGAAGAGAAATGAAGAAGGGATTGCAGCATATCCATGCCTCACTGGGAGATGCTTTCTCCTCCTCTCTGCATCTGCATCCTCCGAAAAGAAGAAATGTTTCAGGATGGCCAGGGACATGTTTGGACCATGATCAAACTCATTAAATTGATGCGTTTGGAGAGAAAGGTGCCTGTAAAGATACACTGAGAAAGAACTTTGAGGAAGTGAGTAGAGGTTTGAATAACCCCAGATTGTATATAGAGTCTGAATTTTATCTGAGAGGACTACTAATAGATTACCTTTCTGGAAGGAGGATTGTGTGTGCAAAGATTTTTTTAGGCAGAAACAATCAAGGGTGAGTGAGAATCAAAACCATATTGGAATCATATCATTTGGAAATGATTTATTGGCCTGGGCTTTGAGGTGAGGTAAGCAAAACAGAGTAGCAGGAAAAAAACTTAAAGGGTGTCTGCTAAAGGCATAGTATCACAAGCAGGACATGGTAGCTGTCTGGATTTCATGGCAGAGACTAAGTTTAAAGTACTTGAGGATTTCAAAGCCAGTTACCTAGAAATGGATGGCACCATTAACAAGATGGGGACAGTCAGGGGTTGGTGGTAGGGTAGAGATCTTCCAGAAAAGATGTGTTTGGTCTTATGTTGACCTAGCAGTCTCACACCAGCAATAGTTAGGAACCTGAGACTGCCACTCATATATTCAGCAATGTTTTCCAGAATGCCAGTGTTGTGTACTGCAGCAAGGTAGCAGACATAGGCGATAGAGCACCTAACAAGAAATAAAGCTGCCAGCCAGCTCCATGGCTCAGTGGTTAAGGGAGATGGATCCCACATAGCAAACTGCAGTTCACATCCCAGCCCTGGAAATTTGAAAAACATGTTGGACCTATGTACATGCATTCCCCAAATCTCCACAGGATAGAGAAATGGGGTATCAGCATGATCACACCCTACTGCAAGGTGGTTCTTCCATCTTACACCCCCTCTCTGTGAGCGCATACACCTTCTGGCAATAAAAACAAAACAAAGATCTGCCATATTAAAATATTTTGTAAAAGCCAAAAAGCAGGACCAGCCTGTGGTGTGGTGGTTTAGGTAGCTGAATCCCATATGGCTGACTGTGTGGTTCAAGTTCTGGACCCAGAAGCTTGGGAAACATGCCAGTCATGTATGCCCAAAATTCCAAAAGGAGGGAGAAATGGAAGAGAAGAGGTTGCAACTTGACCATTGCCTATGGAGGTGCTCTCTCACTTTGTTTTTCTCTCTCCCCCTTTCTCTGTCTCCTACGAGCACACATGCCTTCTACCAAATTATTTTTAAATATAGAAAGGCAAAAAGCAAGCTGGCCATATTACCTCGTGGTTATGGGAGCCAGATCCCACATGGCTGGCTGTATGGTTTGAGTCACCGTCCCAGTGGCTTGAAATACACACCAGGCATATGTGCACATGTGCTCCAAACCCCCGTGCATAGAGAAATGGAGGAGAAGGGATGTGTAGTGACCACAGTCCACTATGGGGTGCTTTCTCCGTCCCTCCCTCTCTGGTGAGCACATGCACCCTCTGACAGATAAAAATAAATGAGTGAATGAAGGGACCGATGGTTCTGTTTTTGTTTTTCTTGTAAAGAGGCAAAAAATCTATGTCAATAATAATAATCAAGATTTCTGAGAGAGTGATGAAATCATTTCCAAAGAGCAGCCTGAGAGAGGTAGGAAAAATGAGGAAAGTATGATCCTGAGAACTGAAAAAGATACAGGGTGTTTTAAAGGAAAAATACGTGGTACGATTTAAGGAAGAAACTGGAGTTTAAATCCATAGATGGCTTGTTTCTAGGTTTGTGCATTTCTGGTTGGACATTCCTTAATGACTGAGACAACCCGGATACCTGAGAAACTTGCGAAGTTTGTTTCGATCAAACTATTTAAGGAGGTGTTTATTACTTGGAAAATACTGTCCAAGGTTTCTTTGCTAATATGTAAATATTTCTTCTATTCTTAGGAGACAAATGAGCAAAAACTTCACAAAATAGCCAGTGAACTTTTGCTTACAGAAAGAGCTTATGTCAACCGGCTGGACCTCTTAGATCAGGTAATATTTTCTCTTTCAGAATTATTTTACATTGACATTGTGTATAGTTTTAACCTTGTAATCTGAGAACCTAGGTAATCATTTTAACCCAGTAAGTAAGGTATTTTAGGAACTGTAAGGGGCCCCGGCAGGTGGCATGGAGGCTAAGGCACTGGATCCCACCTGGCCAACTTCGTGATTGAGTCCTGGACCCGGCAGCATGAAAGTAATGCTGAGTGTGTACGCGCATGCCCCAAATCCCTAGAGGATACTGGAGGACAAGGAATTTAGGTGTGGCCATCCCCCCGGGAGAGTGATTTCTCACTTTCTCGCTCTTCCATCCCCTACCTTCTAGCCAGTGCACATGCCCTACACAAAAAGCTTAAAAACGAAAAACTAAGAAATAATGGCCTGTCTCTGGATAGTTGAGGATATTTGTTCAAAAAAAATCTCTAGCCCTTTCGGTTTTGTTAGTGAAATCACTAGTTACAAACATTTTGTATTTCCTAGAGAGTATAGGTTTTTCGCTAACCACAAGTCAAAAATGTGTCTGTAACCTTAAATGCTAGCCTTGTCTTTTTTTTAAAGCTTATTTGTATTCATGAAAAAGGGAGAAGCACTCTGAATAGGATGTTGTCCTGCCACTATCCCTGTCTCCAGCCCTCTGCTCATCGGGATCTTGGGCATGTGTTTGCACCTGGTGTGTTTCCGGTCAAATGACCCATGGTCCATCATGTGGCTTCCAGCACTGCAGTTCAGAATCCTCCCAACTGCACCATGGAGGCTGGGCCTGTTTTTCGACTATGTATTGTGATCCTGAGGATCATGTTATCATTATAATCTAAATAAGACATTAGTAATCCTAATGCTCACATGAATGCATTGCTGATGTCAGTTGGGCTAGTTTGCTTTTTAACATGATGTGCGTGGTCTAACTGTTGGCAGAAAGGATTACGAGAGTTTACTTTTCAACCTTATATGAAATATTTAGTACAGTGCTTGGCGTAAAGTTGCCCAGTCAACATTTGTTGATTATGGAAATCTATCTTTACCACATTTTATACTTTTATCATGGTGGAGCCTTTCCAAATCTACATTTGGAAAGATTAAAAATGTATCATGGGGGGACCATTTAATGGCGTAATAGTTATGTCTCTAGACTCCCATGTAGTCAACCGCAGTTTGAGTCCCAGACCTGGTTGCTTAAAACTCATGCCAGGCATGTGTGCATCCCTGCCCAAATCCCAAGAGGAAAATGGAGATGGGATTTCGGCGTGGCCATTCACCCTGAGGGATGACTTCTCGCTTTCCATCTCTCTCTGTCTTTGTGTCTTTCTGTCTGTCTCTGTCTCTGTCTGTCTCTCTCTCTCTCTGTCTCTCTGGCACAGTCACGCATCCTATGGCCAAAAACTCATCTATATATATATATCAGGAGGGCCAGCTCATGCTCATGCCATGTGTTTAAGGTGGCTGGATCTCACATGGCTGACTCATGGTCATGCCTTGGACCCAGCAGCTTTAGAAACACAGCAGACGCACATGTGTGTGTGCTCAGAATCTCAACAGGAGGGAGAAATGGAGAAGAGACAGCGATGCGACCATTTCCCATGGAGGTGGGACAGAAGAGTGCTTTCTTGCTTTCTCTCTCTCCCTCCCCGTCTCTTTTTCTCTGCCTCTCTCCCTCTCTCTCCAGTGAGTGCACATGCCCTCTGGCTTTTTTTTTTTTTTAAGTAAAAAAAAATGTACCACAGGGAATAACTATTGAAAATGAATTCATCTTAATCCTGCTTCAGCAAAAACAGGACTACTGGTCGAGTGTCCAGAACAGATTTCTCGTTAGAAGATAAATCTGCATGTTTGAGGTTAGCTATAGGAAGCGTGGTCCTACTTCTGCTAGAAGACTGGAATTTCATGAAAACGTGATCTGGGCACACCTCTTATCATTGGTCCCAAAAGTGAACTATATGCCTGCTAGCATGAGCCTCGAGGAGCCAGTTTACAGCTTGTGTTCTTTTACATAATGAATTTGGGGCTCAAATCCTCTTTTTTTTCAAGGAATTTCACAAGTCAAAGTCAATTTAGCTTTTCTTCCTCTTTTTTTTTTTTTTTTTTGGAGAGGTTTTTGCTATAGGGCGCGTGCACTCGCCAGACAGAGACAGAGAGACAGAAAGTGAGAAATCACCCCCCAGGGGAGTGGCCACGCCACAATCCCTTCTCCTCCATTCTCCTCTCGGGATCTTGGAAACGCACGCACACATGCCCGGTGTGAGTTTAAGCCACCGGGTCTGGAATTCGAACCGCGGTCGACTACATGGGAGTCCAGCGACATAGCCATTACGCTAACTGCTGGTCCCAGCTTTTAGGTATTGCTATAATGGAGATGTGTCTTTCTTATCAAATTATAAATGCATAGGGTTTTTCTTTGTTTTTGTTTTTTAAGCCAAATTAACTTGTTCAGCTACTATTGCTGATATTTAGACTTCTAGTCTTAATTACTACAGTATACTACCTATTAAAGTCTCTAAGGACATAATTTTATGTTCTTTTTGCCTTCCAAGAAAATGCAGTGTAGGTGAATTTAGAAAATTAACAAACATCTGGACATCATGAAGGAACAGACCTCCTTCTGCCCACATTTAATGGAGTGGCAATTAAGAGAACTTGCAGCCCTAGCGGGGTATAGCTAAGACTACAAGATTTGTTTTTATTTTTAAATTGTCTTTAAGGTAACTGTTACAGAAGAAGGTACACACACACACACACACACACGTTTCAGTATTTGAAGTTATCATGCACTATTTACTAACAAGCATGTCAAATCTGAGGACTGAAATATTTTCTTGTTCATTCATAACTAGATATTAAACACCTTTTTTTTTTTGGTGAGAATTAAATCCTGTTATCTCCCCTTCCAAAGGAGCATATAGTTTTAATGGGAAAAATGAGATTCATGTCGACAAACAAGAAATGTCGATAGGTAGAAGTGAGAAATGCCACTGTTGTATGTATATAAAGTATTTTCATCCACCTGAAGTCCAGCTTTGGATAGGAAGGGTAAATCCTACTGAATTTAACTGGAATTTCTTTGGCACAGAAAAGGTAAATCGTCTGCCTTAATATCCCACAGGTTACAATCAGAGCTAGATTATGATCACAGTTTCCTAATCATCCTTATCCCTGGTTCTCCTAAATCAAAACACACAGTCTCTCTTTTATTTCAGTTATTGATTAATTTCCTGGACCATGAACTTTACCCTTTATTCATTATTTTAGTCATTAAAAGACTACAAAGAACCCATTCTGTGGCTAGCACAGTAGTAGTTTACTAGTCAATAAATCTGAAGTAACGTTTGCTTTATTCTCTTCTTCAGGTATTTTACTGCAAGTTATTGGAAGAAGCAAACCGAGGCTCATTTCCAGCAGAGATGGTGAATAAGATCTTTTCTAATATTTCGTCGATCCATGCCTTCCATAGTAAATTCCTGTTGCCAGAGCTGGAGAAACGAATGCAAGAATGGTAAGAGGAGCAGAGAGCAAATGATGTCTGAGGCAGTTGTGCAAGACGCCTGTTTACAGTGTATGAATTGAAATAGAAATGCCACACGTAGCTGCAGCTGCAACTCTGTTCTAAATGTTTGCAGTAAAGACGACTGATATAAAGGTGGTGGTACAGGGTTTCATCTCCGTTTTCCAAACGAGCTCTTGACTAATGGAGTCAGGATAGCTGGGGTAATCTGAGCTTCAAGATTTCCACACTGTCTCTCCTTCCTGTGCTATTTCTAAACTCCCTTTAAAATGGTATCTCTGTATTCTGTGCAAGTGTCACAGCACAGTGGATCTGACAAAGCACATGTGTACATGGGGATTACTTTATCTGGAGCCCTGTTAACTTGCTCATCCTATAAGAAATCGTAACAACTTGTTTGTATATTGATTCAGGGAAACTACCCCCAGAATTGGAGATATTCTTCAGAAACTGGCGCCATTCCTGAAGATGTACGGAGAATATGTGAAGGGATTTGATAACGCTATGGAACTGGTTAAAAACATGACAGAACGTACTCCCCAGTTCAAGTTAGTGGTTGAAGAAATCCAGGTAATAGGACTATTTTATTTGAATGACTGAATTTTTCCATGTAAACTATGTGGTCGACATCTCAAATTGAGATCTAGAAAGATCTGTCTGGGGACCAGCAGTTGGCGTAATGGCTAGGTTGCTGGACTCCCATGTAGTCAATTGCAGTTTGAGTCCCAGACCAGGTGGCTTAAACTCACACCAGGCGTGTGTGCGTACGTGCCCAGGATGCTGAGATGGAAATGGAGAAGGGATTGTGGCATGGCCATCCCCTCCTGGGGGTGATTTCTCACTTTCTGTCTGTCTTTCTGGTGAGCGCACGTGCCCTATAGCAAAAACCTCTCCAAAAGAAAAAGATCTGTCTGAGATACCTCGCCAAATCCATTATGCTCTGAATTATGCAAAGATCATCCTGCAGGGTTAAAATATTTATTGAGCACACGCCACACACTAAGCAATAAATTCTCAGTTGCTTTTGAGACCAACAGAAGCTGGCTTTTTTAAAGTCTACATAAATTTACAAATTTACAGTGCTCTTATTTAGGTGTGTGCTTCTCTTGCATTCTTTTAAAGGGTGAGATATTGGAAGAGATATAAATGGATAAAAAATAGTTTGAGACTTTTGGAAACATCATTATTCTTTCTTTCTTTCTTTCTTTCTTTCTTTCTTTTTTTTTTTTTTTGTCCCTTTATATCTGTATCTTGATTTTCTTCTACTTTCTCAAACCTAGATACTACATTTTAGTAATGTCATAGTAATTTCCATTCGATTCTCTGGTCAATTTTGTTTTAAAGAATTTTTTATTTTATTTGTCATCATTACTTTTTTTTTCTTTTTTCATCTGACCAGGAAGAGACAGAGAGAGAGAAAGGGAAAGTAAAAAACCAAGTCGCGAGGTCCAGGAATCAAGCCACAGTCAGCGATATGGAAGTATAGCACCCCAACCACCAGCTAGCTACCTGCCAGCCCCTCTGGTCAATGGGATTTGGAGCACACACACAGGCACCTGGTGTGTTTCTTAAGCAGCCAGGTCCAGGACTCGAACCCCGCGACTGGCTATATAGGATCCAGCAGCCTTTACCACCACCCCACAGCTGCCCTTAATTCCTCTGGTTTGTAAACTATCTTTTGAGTTAGTTTCATAGTGAGATTACCATATTCATCTTAATTTATCACAATATGCTTCATATTATACCAGCTTTAATTCTAATAAAATGTAGACATTTTGGTATAAGTATAAAATGTGGCTATTACATCCTCCATGGTCTGTGCTGTTAGTGTCACATAGATTACCTTTTTTTTTTTTTTTTGAGAGGTT